CAGACTAACACGGCTGTTACTCTGTAACCCAGGTTTGTGAGTTCAATCCTTGAGGGGGACATTTAGGGATCTGGGGCAAAAATCTGTCTGGGGATTGGTCCTGCTTTGAGCAGGGGGTTGGACTAGATGACCTCCTGAGGTCCATCCCAACCCTGATATCCTATAAGGAATCTCTATTTCTGCCCCTTGCACACCAAAGTGGCCTTTCAAAGGTATATAGCACAGAAGCTGTCCCAGAAACAGGGCTTTGGAAGAGCTAGCCTTCGCAATTCAAGTAACGACGCAGCACCTGAACAGCAGTGAGACAGGACTCCCTTAATCAGCAGGCACCCAAACTTCCCCGCACGAGGGGGCCATGCTGGCAGGCTGCCTGCGAGCAAACACGCATTGGAGCAGACAGACGCACAGCCCACAGCAAGGAAGGACGCATGCGATGCTGTAGCTAGATCTGAGTGGCAGAGATACGGCCAATGGACCAGAGGGGCCAGCAAATGAAGGCGCAACCATTCCACCCCTCTCAAGAGGGAGCATTGGACGCTGGGATCCGGGTGCTTGTGTAACCCACTAGCGTGCGCTACAGCCCCCCTGCTACAGCCCCAGCAACGGGGCTCTTGAGCTCTGGCGATTCCCAGTTCAATCCGGCCACGTGACCCAAGTGGGCGGCGCTCACACCTGCCCGACAGGCTAAAGCTTGCATCCAAACACGCGATATCAGCTAAACACCGCGCCGCGGCTTCCCCTCCGGGCCCTGGCACGGGGGGAACGAACCAACCACCCACCCGCTGCGCAGAGCGGCTCGGGGCGCTACGGGCTGCACGGGGGCCCGGCCCGTCTCCCCTGAGCCCCGGCACCGATGCCCCGGGGAAGCTGCTGCCCCGACTGAGCCCCGCTTCGCCGCGCGGTCCTCACCCGGCAGCCCTACCGCGTCAGCAGCCGGGCCTCGCCGCGCTTTCAGTTTCCATAGCGCTGAAGGGGCGGGGATAGACTAAGTAGTGTCCTCTCGCGATAACGACCCACCAGCTCCCGCCTTACCCGTTCCTCCGCGAGACCGGGGCAAGGCGGGGACGCAATTGGTCAGACTGGAACCAATCACAGGTAGCGTCACGGCCACTTCCGGGAGGAGCTGCGGACCGGAAGTGTTATACTGGGCTCCGTCTGTGTGCTTGCATGTGGAGGGGGCGGTGGTTCTGAGTCCCGTGCCACCGTCGCCAGCCGGCCCCGCCCCTGAAATCCGTGGTGGGCATGAGGCTGGGCAGGTATTTTTGCCCCCGTAGCAGCTCAGGGCGGGGAGCCAGTTACAGCTCGGAAGCTCAGCAGCGCCCAAAGGGATCGGTGCCGGTGCCAGTGCCAGTGCCTGGCTGCGAGCCTTCCCTTAGCAGGAGCGCTCAGTGCTGCCAGAAGTGGCGCTCGTTCCCTGGCATCAGTATTGCACCTGCTAGCCCAGGAGAGTGCGGGGGTGGGGGGTCTGGAGGTATTGGCCGTGGGGTGGCATGTAAACCTGAGCTCTTGGCTACTCTAGGTCATTACAAATCTCATGGCACTGTGAATGTCAGTGACCTGGCTAGAGTCCAGCTCAGGTTACCAGTCACCTGAGACATGTTTTGCATCATCAGAACAAAGTGGGATGTGGAACGAGAGTACGTTGTTTGGGGAAGTGGTATCAGACCAGCTACCCTGCTGAGTACAATGCTAACTAGCCCGTCTGCTGTGCACCAGCTGCATCCTGGGAGCAGGAACCAGAAGGGACAGGTGACTCAGGGAATAGGTAGAGGAAAGGGACAAAAGGAAGCTGGCAACAGTGGGTAGGAGGCCGACCTTGGCTTCCATCCCTTCTCTTTGAATTTTAAAGATGGATAAACTCATTCTTGGATGGGGGCAGGGGAGCTGATGCATTAAATTGAGTGCATGCTTTTGAGGATTGCATGCTCAGACAGTTCCCACAGTATCACTGACAGAGAAAAATCCTATCCTGCTGAGCACAGGGCTACCTTTCTGCCCCTGTCATGAGTTTCTCTCCTAGTTGTGGTGCTTTACAGAGGAAATGCCCAGTGTTCTCATTCTTTCTCACCTCATCTGCACCCTGAAGCTATCCCAGGCTTTTGGATGAAATGTATAGATAAGTCATTATTGTTACAACTCAAAAGTAAAACAGAAGCAAAAACTAATGTTGAAAATAGATATTATAAAATTTCTAAACACTGTTAACCATTTGGCTTCTGCAAGGTATTCCACTCACATTATGCAAAATGCACATTCAGTGCTGCGCCATTACTTTTGCAGATGTCATAATTACTGTGTACAAGCACTCTATTTCTGGGGGGTTTTGATAGGAAATATGTTAACTGCAGCTAACACAGTTCCTGTTTACATAGCCAGTTTGGTAAAATGTACATAAACTGGCATTCTTAAAATTGGTTCTTGAAAATTGTTTCATTGTGTTGCTGGTATTGGCACAACCCTTGTTTTAGCTTTTGTTGATGATTTATGTATGTGTGTTTGGCAGGAGGTAATGCTGAATGACTCAGAAAAGAAGCAAGACAGCACCAGAAGAAAAAATATTTAACTCTGTACAGTTGACATTTACAGATGCTAACTAAAAATGAATGAAAGCAGAAAATCAGATGAGAAAAATATTGACGATAGAAAAGATGATAGAGAAGAATTACTGGAATTTTCGGAGAACTTTAACCAACTTGAATTGTTGGAAACACACAGACATCTAATTCCTATAGGAACTCAGAGTCTTTGGTCAGGAGAGTCTGGTGAGGAAGATGAAGAGGAGGAAAAAAGTGAGGAGTGGTACCAAATGCAAGAAAAAAAAATGGAAAACAATCCAGAAAAACTGCTGCTTTGGGCAGCTGAAAAAAATCGGGTAAGAAGGAGTTCATCCACTATATATATATTTTTTTTCACTGTATTACCTTAAATTGGTATATACCCAGATTATGCTTAAAAAACAAAAATCTAGCCATAATTGTTCTATTTTTGCAAAGCATATTGGGAGCCCAGCTAATTGGACCTAGAACATTTGGGGCCAGGTCCTGCAAGCAGATTCACCTGGGTGGCCTCCCTTTCAAGTCAGCAAGGTTCCAAATAAGTTCAGGTGTCTCTCCATGCAGCTCAGCTTGCAGGATCAAGGCCTTGATTTGTACCAAGAGCTCAAATACTAACACTGATCTGAAAATACTGTGAACTGAAAGAGCATTCTGGGTATTTTAATACAAATTATGAGCCCAAACAGGTACACTCTTAATCCTATTGTATTGCTTTAATGCATGTCATATTAAAACAAAGTACACTAATTTTGAATGCCGAAATGAGGTCCATCTCTTGCAAACTATATGTTCGCAGTGTGTCAGCTGAAGCTGGTTAACTACTTCCAATAAATTGGAGAATAATTTTTTGAGGGATTTTGTCATTGTATGTGGTATGTGTGCATTAACAAATAGTATTCTACCAACTGTAAAGTTGGTTAAATACTACCAGAAGTAACTTTGTGCATATAGTTATCGTGTGGCAGAGTTCTACAGGTTATGATTGTGGCCAAGAGTTGAGTAGGATTCAATGAAAGATTTTAATTTGAATCCAACTATATAGATAAGACCAACAACAGTTCTGCTGTAGAAGACAACTTTTTAAAATAAGGAATATAACATCTCGTGCTTTAGGGCATAAAATAAGCATTACATGAAGGGAGTTAGTAATAACCTGGGGCAAGTTATTCCATAATTGGAGATGGGGTTGCTTGAAGTCAGTGGGACTGATGCAAGTATCTTTAAGCACATGCTTGCCTGGACTGGGGCCAGAAACAGGATGCTGTACTAAGTAGACTACTGGTCTGATCCAGTGGGACAATTCCTGTTTATCCATAAGATAAAACAAACCAAAAAATTCTTACCTCAAACATGGTCTTTTTTTTTCTTCAAAACTATGCTGTATATACAGGAGATGAATTGAATTGTGTTTTGACTGAAGGGGAAGATGGTTACTCTTGACAAAAACATTCCCGTTAAATAGTACTTTATCCTATATGCACTAAAATCAACAGACTATAAATTGACCTTATTTAATTACACTTGTTACATAAACTGCTGTCTAAAAGTACAGTTTGTGTGTGTGTGCGTATATTAAGCTGTCTGTCTTTCTTACATAGCTTAGCACAGTACAGAGACTCCTTTCTCAAAAGCTAGCTCCCGTTAACGTCCAAGACGAAGATCAGTACACTCCCCTCCATCGAGCTGCCTACAGTGGACATATAGATGTTGTGCGTGAATTGATTGCCCACGGTGCAGATGTCCATGCACTGACAGTGGATGGCTGGACGCCTCTACATAGTGCATGTAAGTGGAACAATACAACGGTGGCTTCATTTTTACTTCAGCATGGTGCAGATATCAACGCTCAAACAAATGGATTGCTGACACCATTGCATCTTGCTGCAGGAAACAGAGGGAGTAAAGAAACACTTGAACTTCTGCTGATGAATCGTTACGTGAAACCAAACCTAAAAAATAACTTGGATGAAACTGCATTTGATATTGCTAGAAGAACGGACATATATCACTACCTTTTTGAAATTGTAGAAAATTGCACAAATTCTGTGCCAGATTCTTAAAAATTCTCATTATTTAAACTTCTGAATGTGAATTTCACTTACTTCCTCTTTGTGAGACGGCATTCTTTATACTTGCACCCAAAACAAGTGGTTTCTCCCCACTTCTCAGAAAAGAGTTAATAGGTGATATTGTAGAGGGAGATCTCATGATTAAGATTTCATTATTTTTTGCAAAATAAATGACCATATACTTACTCAGACTTTGACATATTATCACTTATATAGAATGGGACTTGAGGTGTTCTGCAGGCTAGAGCTTTGGTAAATTTAGTAATTTGCAGTGGGTCTCCACTTTTATCAGTGCAAATTAGCAAGGATCTACTGTAATTAAAGTCCAAAACACTAATATCAAGTCAAGGAGAAAGCTGGAACATTAACTGTTAAGTAAGCTAGCAGGTTATGCACAAATTGGTAGTTACTGTTTGTTTTAAACTTTTGAGACACGTGTTTTAACTTCTTTAAAAGTGCATGAAAACGCTGACTGAATGTAACTAACTTATACAGGGGACACTCAAAATATATAGTTTCCTCATTTTAAAATAAAATACTTAACACTAAATATTGTTTGTGTTGTGGATCTTTGTTGAAGGCCTAATAATCAATGAAATTGTCTGTTCATAGACCAAGAGCATTATTCCTATAGTGTCAAAAGCAGTTCCAGTTTAGTTTTACTGGTACTTTCGTATGGAGATGACTATCAAGGGTCCTGTTTACACTCTCCTTCAAAATTAGTTAAGGAATAATGTTTAGATGGATCCAAATACACACTTGTCTACAAGTTGAAGCATGTCAAGATAAACAAAACACTGTTGTGTCTGACTTGACTGAAACATTTTACAGGGCAGAAGGGACTTTAGTAGTATGTCTGATCCATGCTGAAGTCTTGTACAGTTCATTCTAACACAGGAGTCAGGACACCATTCTAGTCTCATACATTTCATTTTGTGTGTTTTCTCAGAAATTCTCTAACTTTTGGACTGTTCCCTTAGTTCAGTTCTATATTTGATCCCCTTTTTAACTGATGAGTGGCCAGTATTGTCAACCTGGAGCACTCAAATATCACGAGGCAGGCACAAAAAACATGGGATTGGATTAAAAATAATGCCATTTTAAAAATAATGCATCTTGAGTTCTCAGTGTTTATCTTCTGGCTTTTGAACCTTGTGGGGTGCACTTGAGTGATGTTGGCAAGCTTTCCTCTGCAACCATGAGAGCTAGAAACTTACTTTCGGCTTTTAATTTAAAGTAGATTCTCATGTATGCCCAGGAGTTAGAGCTTTAAGACATACACCAAACATGATGAGACTTGTAATGAAATCACAAGCATTGGCAACACTGGGTAATCCTTGACTCCAGCATTTTCTCCTTTTACCAACACCTTTCTCTTCAAGCAGCTCAGGTCCAGATCTACAGAGGGACTTGCAATGCTCAGCTTTGCCTTTTAGGTGCCTAGAAAAATCACAGGAACAACACTGTGATCCACAAAGACTAAGCTAGGTGCCAAAATAATGAATGGGACGAGACAGGCTTCCCAGCATGTGATCCACAAAAAGTCAGTGTACTGGCTGGCGAGCCAGGTAAGCTAGCCAATGGGAGACACAGATGAGAGGGGTGTGGCCTAAGCCCCACCTCCTTACAGAAATAGGCACATAACTTTTGGCTGCAGGGACACAAGGCCGACAGCTAGGAACCTGTCTCCTGCAATCAGGTGGCTTAGGTGCCTAACTCATTTATTGTGAGAATGAGTAAGGTGCCTGTCTCACGCTACACAAAATGGCCAGCGCAGGAGGTTAGTTCAGTGATTAGAGCATGCACCTAGGATGCAGGAGGGTCATTTAAAGAGGAGGACTGGACCCTGGGTCTTCTAACCACCAGGCTACAAAGTCTTCCTCTTTCTCTCTCTCTCTCTGGACCAATGATTCTTTAAATATTTATACACACCAGAAGAGCTTCAACAAGAAAGATTACGGGAGCCCCACCTCACAACATTCTGTATCTCAGAGGTTAAAGGACTCTCCCTAGAGAGTGTTCAAATCTTCTCCCCCAGTCAGGCAGAGGAGGGGAACTGAATCTGGGTCTCTCTCAGCTGAAGGAGTGCTCTAACTACTAGGCTAAATGTTACAAAGTGGAAGAATACCACCACTGCCTCCTCCTCTATCTGTATTGGAGCAGAGCACACCTACTGGATCAGGTTCCCCCCCAGGCATGTCCTGCTTCATTAATTGCTCTGGAGTTTAGGCAGAAGATAAGCATCTGGATGCTGACAGTGAAGCAGTACTGCACATGCCCAGAGGCAGAAACATAGGTACATAGGGAAGTTTTATTCTGAAAATGTAGTCACTGAAGTTATGTCTATAGTGCAATTAAAAACCTGCAGCTGGCCCATGCCAGCTGACTCAGGGTCATGGTGCATGGGCTAAGGGACTGTTGTTACCTGTCAGCTCTGTGCTCTTAGGGAACCAGGGCACAGTATCCAGCCTGTCTGACTCATGAAGGACCCATTTCTGTGCCCCCCCGCCTCTGCTTGAGCCAAAACCGATCAGAAGACTTACAAAAAGCAATGAAAAGGCAGTGGGAGACGCACCTAAACCCCTCCTGACAAAGGTGACAGGATTAAAGCAACTCCCCTACCCTCATTTGCATCGAAGATGGGACAGGGAAGCAATTCCATTAGCATACAGGATGGAGAACAGAGATTCCAAGGCAAGAACCACACTGAACTCTGGGACCAGAAAAGCAGGGAAGCACTGCATCATGGGGGATATCTGCTCCAGAGGTTAATGAATCCACACCTGCACACACCCAGCTCAGTAGTTATCTGACCAATTCTACTAATAAATCCTTTATAGGTATCCAAAATACTGAAGCTGCCTAATGAGCTCTCTCGAAGGAATACCACCCATAACCAAGAATGATCAGTTCCTATTGTCTAGCTTGAACAAAGGGGGAGGGATAGCTCAGTGGTTTGAGCATTGGCCTGCTAAACCCAGGGTTGTGAGTTCAATCCTTGAGGGGGCCACTTAGGGATCTGGGGCAAAATCAGTACTTGGTCCTGCTAGTGAAGGCAGGGGGCTGGACTCAATGACCTTTCAAGGTCCCTTCCAGTTCTAGGAGATGGGATATCTCCATTAATTTAATTTAAAAATAACTTTGGTATATTCCTTTGAGCCCTCAGTTTACCCAAAAAGAAATCTAGTGTTCTCCCTTGAACCATTGTTGTTTCCCAACAAAAACACCCTATCCACACTCAAGTAAGTGTTCTGATGCTTGGATCCAAACTCTGCATCAGTTCCACTGGGACTTCATCTTCTCCTGACTGATCGTGCTGGGGGCTCTGCCTGTCTCCAGCACTCCAGACCCTTAGCTATCACCACACCTGGGAACCCTGACCAGTTCAAGCTTCATGGAGTGGTAAGAACCTAACTCACTCTCTCTCTCTCTCTTTTTTTTTTTTAATACTCTAGGTATAAATTTCTAACCCTAACTTGTGTGATCAGATAGTTTTCTAAACCTGACTTTTGTAATACAATATTAAATCTAGCTTAAATTTGAACTGTTTTGTTTGTTTGGGTCTCCTTGTATGGTTATTACCTGGAAATAAATAACTTTTATGGTTAAGCTGGTTGCTTCCCTCCCTCCCCCGCCCCCTCTCTTTTTGTGTTTTTGGCTTCCCCATTTGCTCTGCAGCAACGCTTCTCTTACCTAAGCTAAAGATCCCTGTAGCGCCCAAAAATCCAGTGGGCTTTTCTCATCAGTAGGTTACTACCAGAACAATTGTACTGTGAAAGTGGGAATAGGGATGTGCTGAACCTGTGGCATAGGAGGATGGCAGCTTGAAAGTGCTGCTCGACCCAGCCTGGTCATGTGTACTTTATTCCGGTGTGGTGCCCGTGGCATATGAGGGTGGCAGAGTGGAGGTGCTGTTCAACCCAGCCTGCTGAGTCCAAGGGCATATAAGGGTGATAGCTTGAAAGTGCTGCTCGACCCAGCCTGCTCAGACGAACTCTATTCCGGTGTGGTGCCAGTGGCATATGAGAGTGGAAGTGCTGTTCGACCCAGCTTGCTGAGTCCAAGGGCATATAAAGGTGACAGCTTGGAAGTTCTGCTTGACCCAGCTTCCTGAATCCAGGGACATATAAGGGGTCAACTTGGAAGTGCTTATTAATCCGGTCCACTCAGACGCATTCTGTTAATATGTGTGTGTGTGTTCATCTGATTCTGGGGCTGGGGAACCTAGGTCCTGCAGGATAGCTCCATTGGGAGAGAACTTGCAGAAGGGAGAAGTAGAGCTCCATATGAAAACACAAGTGACACAAGCAGTACATTGACAGAATTACAAAACCCTTTTCCCCCCCAGACAAGTAACTGTAATAAATGAGCATACCCCAAAGTAATGGGCAAATCCGGTAACACTGTTTAATTGTGGCATAGATGTTCAGGCCCTGTGTGCAAAGTTCTCTTTTTATCTTAGTGGTGGAATGCTTGTCACAGGATTCCTGCACCACATTTGTTTCATGTGCTGCACTTTGGTCACTTCTAACCTAGACCAACTGCACATCTACAGTACATAGCTAAGATCACTGCCTTGTTGACTATGTGACTCTTGCTACCGGATGGCATTAGTGTGTGCTGTAGTCTTGGCACTATATAGATACTCATCCTTGTTTTGCTCAGCAGGAAATTTTAGTCTGCTGTTTGAACAGCTCCCTGTCTTAGTAAGCCTGCCCTCTTTCAACAATAGATTCAGCCCTTCTGAAAGCAAGCCAAAGTGTTATGACTGAAGTAGAGTTGCACCACCTGTCCCTAGTGCTTACATTGGGATAGACGCACCTATAGAACTTGTCAATGTTGCTATTTACTTTGAAAAATGAACATATCTGGATTACTAACTAGCTACAATAGTGTACTTTTTCAAACCTGAGTTATTTTTCCTGGAGTGTGGAAAGAAGGGTGTGTACCACTTTGATTTATCAATAGCAGGTGTTAAAAAAGTACATTATGTTTGAAGCAAAAATCATTGCTATCTGTGTAAATTTATGACTTTTCAAGGAATCATAGA